ATATATATATATATATATATATATATATATATATATTATAACAACACATTAAATTTAAATAAAAGGTAGTACTTTTAATATGTATATCATGCACGTCAAACTTAATACGTAAATTTTATGGTTATAAATATTTGGTATAAAAATAAAAATATTTATATAATATGATTATAGTAAATATTTGTTATAATTCATAACAAATATGTTGATTAGTGTGAAAGTATAGTCAAATCTTTTAATAATATTTTATTGTTAGAAAAGGAGACTTAGTTAAAATGGTAAACCAGAATATATATTAATTTCCGGTGTATAATTCACACTACGACAGGTTAGTTTTTTTAAAATTTAGAAATATATATAAAATGATTTTAAAAAATAATATTTTAAAAGTAGATAGGATTTCTTAAAAATAACTGTTATTGTTTTTTATTTTTAAAAATATTGTAAACAAACACATCAAAAAAAATGAGTTGAAACGGTTTATTTTATTAAAGAAGTAATTTTTAAAAGAAAAATTTAAACAAAGACTCAATATAACAACCTAAAATAAAAATATAATTAAAGTAAATATATTAAATGACCTCGATAAAGTTTAATAATTTAGTTTTAAAAAATATTGAATATATCTAAAAAAATAATTGTCACGCATAATAAATTAAAATAATCAAAATTGAATAATAATTCTCTGTTGAAATATATTTGAATATATGATCGCGACCAAAAAAAGATTTCAATATTGAGTAATGTAGTTAAGATTTTGAAATGTATCAAAACTAAATTACATAAAAGAATCTAAACTAAATAAGGGATAAATAAATTTTAATCAATACACAAGTTAAAAGATATATCAGATAATTAGAAGAGATAAAATAATCATCTATAAAAAATAATAAAAATCCTAGCAAAATCTAAGTTGAGATAAAAGTGAGAGAACTAGTTTAAATTGGAAAAGAGATAAAGAAATAAAGGAAGAAATTAGATGAGAAAATAGTGCAGGTTTATTTGAGAGAAGATGATTTAAATGAAAATAAAAAATAAAAAAGAAATGAAAGATGTAGAGGGAAGGGTAAATAGGTAAGTGCAATAGGAAGAAAAAAAACAAGGTATATTTGCCGCATAAATAATTGAAGTGTGATTACCTCAGCACCACAAAATCTCGGAAGAGTAGTGTCTATATATAAAGAGTGAAAGTCGCTTCAAACAAAACAAACCAAACTTTTCTAACGCAAACTTTCTCTCTCCTTCTGCACGCCACATCTTCCCATCATGAAGAAGTCCGGCCTCCTCGCCGCCTCCGTCGCCGCCGCCTCCGCCACCGCTGCCTCTATCTCCTCCTCTTCGCATCAGGTTTTCTTTCTAACTCCTTCGATTTTCCGTGGCTTCCGTTTTGTTGCGTGAAACTCGTGTGAGAAAGTGAAACTTTTTTCGCAGGATGAGAGGCGAGGCCACGAGAACAACACTTCGTCGCAGAATTCGTCTTCTACGGAGAAATTCGCTCCCAGATTCGATGGCTTGCGCTTCATTGAAACCCTCGTAACTGCCCATAGATGAGCTTCACTTCCCCCAATTCTCACCCTCCACCTTCATCTTTTTTTTTTCTTTTTTTTTTTCAATTTCGCCCTTTAGAGACCAATTCATCTATGTCAAATTTTTCATATTTTTTATTCTTAGGAGAATTAATGAGAAAAAAAATATTGTAATTTTACGGGATTATACTGTACTTTTCTTATTTGCCCTTTCTCGGAAATTAAAAAAAAAAAAGTTTGAGTTTTTAGGTTTCTGCTTATTTTCAATGTCTTTTTCTTTTACCAATTCTCAATTTTTTAATGCCTAGTTGTGTGTAGGCTAAAAAGGAATGCATATTTCGTTTTTTCGTATATAAATGGTTGACCTTTTCCTTCTTTTGTGAATAAGATTTGTGTGCCTGAGGAAGCGTTAATGTCAATTAAGAAAAAAATGGTTGAAAGGGAATGAAAGAAGAAGAATACAAGAAATCGAATTAGGTGTTTTTTTTTTTTTTTCTTTCTTCCCTTTCGTTTAGTTGATATCATTTAGGGGTTGTTTTGATTTGCAAACGAAGGAATCGGAGAGATAGTGGTGTTTGTTTGGTAACAGATTGAGCGTTTTATTAAGGTAATTGGTGAAGATAAATGTGAAGTTACTGAAAGTTGTGTTAAAATCGATCTTTGATTAGCACTCTCCTCTCTGATGTGATGGCCGCATGGTGTTATCTTTGTGGGGGTGGGGCTGGGGCTGGGGCGTATGGAATATTCTTTCTCAAATAGTAAGTAATATCTTGCAACTTGTGGTGGAAGTCATGCTATAATTTATAGCATTTTTGGAAAATCATTCAAAATGAAATAATTATTCTTGGGATGCGAAAATTATAATTGATAATATTTTACCATGGTTTATATTTGTTATATATAATAAAGGTCATTTAAATTAAATATTTTATTTGAATATTTAAATTATATTTAAAATTTATATAAATAAATACTTTGAAAGATATAAATATCATATATTATAACATAAGATTATGTTTATTTATTAATAATTTATTTTTAAATATTAAAATATAATTTATAAATAATTATGATAATTAAAAATTAAATTTGATAAAAAGTTAAAATAATCTTTTAAAAAAATTAATAGAAAAAAAATCTCTGTTAATTAATTTTTAATATTAATAATTAAAATGAAAAAAAAAAACATATCTTATCAAATATTGTGTATTAATTGGTATGAGATTTTAGTTTATTTAAATTTTGAATATGTATCTACCTTAAATATTCAAGGGTTTTGTTATCTTAAACTGTATTATCTTATTAGAACAAGATGGTTTTTGTTGAATGATATTAGTAGTTTATGTGTATATAAGATTTTGGCAAATGGCAATGCTTGGTACAAGCTTTTAATATTGTCCGAAAGAATTTATAATGAAATTATAGCCGAATTCCATGTGAATCTATGTTATTTTGTATCATGTCATCAAAAGAATCTTTGATGAGTGTGTTTGTTTGAGGGACCAGAGTGGCTTTATTTGGTGAAGTAGTCACCGGTGTCCTAACTGAGGTTAAAGGTACGATATGAGCTTATAGAAAATGGTTAGGTTACGGTTGCTTAAAAGCATAAGAAAAATGAGAAAAGAAAGAAGAAAGTGTTTAAGGAGGAAGTTGTAAGCAAAGTAAAACTGGAATGTTCTGATTCTTTTCGTTGTTGTTACTTGCTTGGTAGAGAATGAAGGATCGCGTATCCAACTTTCGGTGTCCAATGATAGTCAAATTTTAGGGGTTCTCGTTCTCCGTGGTGTGTTTTTTTTTGGAAGGTTGGGAAAATCAAATTATTTCATAATCAATTATAATTAGAACGAATTTTTATTTAAATAAATTCGATGAAAAATGATTTTGAAATATTTAATTTCATTTTAATATAATAAATAATCATTTTTATGTAATAATTCAACTTTAAAAATTTATTCAAAATTGTAACGACCCGCCAGGTCTCACATTGTCTATAGCGTCCAAATACAAGTATAAAAAAATAATCTCACCACTAAACCATTATATATATAATGAGAATGCACAACTAAAAATCTCAATATATATATATACAATTGAAAGTAAGGAAAATAATACCCTATATAACAACTAGGTAGTCAAAAACTACCAATCAACTAACTACAACGTTAGCTCTCATCTTGAGTCTCGAAGCTACCCAGTCCAGCAGAACACCTATCCCGATCTGCTCGCATACCAAGGTATGGTCATTGCATTCTCAACCACATAAGGAAAACACGCTAGGGTAAGCTCACAACAATAAACATAAAAAAAAAATAACCTCAACATAATAATAAACAACAATAGAATTCTACTTTCAACTTGCAACATAAAGCAACATAACCCCTACAACAATAGATACACAATATCATCTAATAACAACAACAATTTTCAACATATCACACTTTATTCAAATTGGCCGCTTGTAATCGGTAAAGCTCGGCCTGACTAGATACTTTACTCAAAATTGGTCATTCAACCATGACATGGATCGACTACTTCCATGTCGCCCACACAGTACTAAGGGATTCAACTTTAAAACAACTTTCAACTTATCACCTTATTCCTATGTCTCTCAACATAGGACATATATCTTCCCCAAATGCCCCAAACTTTCCAACTTTACAACAATAGGTAGCTTTACAACTTTACGACAATAAACAACTTGACAACTTTACAACTATAGGCATCATAGCAATTTTATAACAATAGACATCTTAACAACTTTACAATAATAGACATCTTAACAACTATAAGCAACTTACAACAATACAACTATAGACATCTTATAACAATAATAGGTACCTTACAACAATACAACAATAAGCATCTTACAACAATAGACAGCTCATACAACTTTAAACAACTTTTACAACAATAACTACTTCAACTTATACATCTCAACTTATTAATAATTCAACAATAAACAACATAAAAATAACTTAGTTTCACCAAATACACAACGTATAACAGCTTTCACAATATCACATATTATCAACACATAACATATGAACAACTTAAGCCAACAACTACTCAACTCATTTTCATCAGGCAACTTAGCAACTTTACCACCTTATAAATAACTTCAACAATATACAACATATTCGGCACAAATTACAAATCAACCATTAATTTAAATAAATCATCTCTTTTCTTTCAAACAACAAAACCCAACTTTTTAGCTCAATCTGCACTCAACAACTTAACCATCTTCAATGAAATAATACATGAAGCTTCCCTAACCTGAAGATTGGCTCAGCATTGCCAAGAGCTGAGAAGAAGTGAAATTTCCTTCCGAAGCTCAACCCGAGAACCTCCATCTTCCAAAAGCAAGCTTCCAAGCCCAGAGTCTTTCTCTCTAAAACTTCTCTCTAAGTTTCCATTTTCTCCCCCCCCCCCTCAACGCCTATTTATAGAGGTTTGGGAGTGGCCAGAACGGCCCGTTTCGAAACCGGAACGACCCGTTCTGCACCCCTTCAACATGTGTAAAAAGCACATGCAGAACGGTCCGTTCTGAACTCATCCAGAATGGCCCGTTCTCCATTCGGAACGACCCGTACTCCCTCCAGAAGGCCCGTTCTGAGCTACTAAATCACCCTTCTTCTAGTAGTTTGGAACGACTCGTTCCAACTTTGAAACGTCCCGTTCCAGTCTACCAACAACGTTACAAAAATAATATAAATTTCAAATTTTCAGTTTCATAAAAATAACTTACTTTTAAGAAAAAAAACTTTTTGTAAATTTAAGTTGTTGTCTCAGTTATATAACTTGTCTTGCAAATATTTTATAAAAAAAATACTGAAACATGGGATATAAGCTATCAAATAGGCATGGTATTCTAACCCGATCTCGTGGATATCCTCGTTTGAACCCGTTCCAATTTAGGCGAGAAAAAATCATGTTGATTGGGTTAAGATTTTTCTCGCTTAATAATATAACTACAAAACTACCCTTATATATATCAAAAAGAATGTAAAAACTTGTATTATCTTGCTTCTCTTTTATTTTTTAAATTTTTTTTTATATTTATTAGAAAATAAAAAAAGGTCCAAGAGCGGGGGCAAGGGCAATGTAGGAAAACCCAAACCCCGTCGGGAGTAGGAATAGGTACCCAGATTTTATCCCTTGTGGTTATCGGGGGCAGGGGCAGAAAACATAAAACCTACCCGCCCCGCTGCCATGCCTAGCCTCAAATGCTATGTGTATATCATATTTAAATAAAATTACGAGGTGCTATAGTCCATGAACCCGAATTGAATATCTGATATATTTTATTAAAATTTTGTTTCTTTAAAAGTAAATATAAAATAATGTATATTTTAATATAATATTTTTTATTAAATACTTCCTAATTTTTTTTAGCTGATATTCATTAATATTCTCTTTCATTTTTTAAATATATTTATAAAAAACTTATCTCAATTTTTTTAGTTTTCACATACACAAAACTTAATCTTAACCAACAAAGTTATGTTCTTTTTCAACAACAGTCTAAAGAACTTATGTTGCTCATGAAAATTGACGGAATATACGAAACTTCCAAAGGTGAAAATGATTGTACATGGATGGTTGACAATGTGTGAGACGATCGATATGAGTGTTAAGCAAGATTGTTTGCATGGGATCTTGACGAGATCTCTAGAACACTAATGAATATCGAGCACGCATGACCTGAAAGTACAACACAACAATAATGATAAAGATTATGGAAGTGCATTATGATTGGTTAACCTCTGGTACATGTCAAATATTTTGGATTCAATAGTTTGTTGTATTCACTACATTGTGTGTTAAGTTTTATCAGGTTTGGTTCAATAGCTTGCTACATTAGGTTCGATGCATTATATCCTATATGAATATTGAAGTATGTAGGAGTTGTTGTATATTTTCAGATATTTCAAAAGGTTAATTTATTCATGAATTCATTCTGAATTTTAAATTTAACTTCAAAATAATTATTTTATTAATTATAGGTATTAAAATTTAGTTAATATTGATTTTAATGAGATATAATAATCTAACTGTTTTAATTTTAGTTATCAAATATTTTAAAATTAATTGAGCACTATTCTCTTCCCTATTTTCTTTTCTCTAGGTTAAAAACTTATTAGTTTTGGATCCAGATGGAAAAGATATTGAGAATCTGTGAATAAGTTCTTTAAAATAGTGTATTCCATGCTAATTTAGATTAATTTGTATATTCAACATACATGAACAACAAATAGAT